ATCAGCATCCATTTCCTTGCTTCTGATTTTTCTTGGAAATTGTCAGTCAAGGCACCATGATAACCAAGAGATGAGATATTGTCTAGTTGGGTTATCCAGGGATTTGCATTTTGAGTTGAGTGACCCAAGAATGGAAATAATTGGACCAAATACTTCCAGAATTTTATTCCCTATATAGACTTGCCAACTGTTTAAAAGATATTGTATTATAGAATCACATGGGTTCTAGAGCCAAGTTGCCCAGGATTGAGGATGGATACCATTTATTACCCTCATGTCTTTCAATTATTTAGGGTTACTTAACTCTTCACTGTCTTCAGTTTCCTTTTTGTATATAAAAGTGATATGCAATGCCCATTACGGGTCTTCTTAGGTTCAGCTAAAGAGTCAGACTCAGAAGACAGCAATAGACTCTACATTTGGCATTAGTTTACTCAGAGGCCTCTCTGATGTTCTTCAAAACAGGAGCCCTTACAATATTCCACACAGTAGTTTTCAAGTCCAAGAAGCCAAGATCCACATCAAGTAGGAATTGCTCTGGCATAAAAACCCTCCTTCCCACTCCAAAAAGTAGTGTAACAAATTCACAGGCATAGCTTTTCACATAAGAACATGGCAGTAGCAAGAGTCAGAGAAGCCACAAAACAATCACTTCTTAATAAGTATTTACTAGTCTAGTTTTCCCAGTCTAGGGGCTATTAACCAACCAGGGATCATTTCTACAATAAGCAATGCTATCTACCCTGTTTCCCCGAAAATAAGACAGTGTCGTATATTAATTTTTGCTTCCAAAGATGCGCTAGGTCTTATTTTCAGGGGATGTCTTATTTTTCCATGAAGAAGACTACGGTACACATTTATTGTTAAATGAAAATACAGGAAATTTATTACTTGTATACGGTACGGTAGTACAGTAGTTGTCAACACAAACCAGACAAACTGTGAATCCTACAGTATCAAGAATTTACTCATTTATTCAATGACAATCATGTCATCATCTTCTAGAACATTATCATAACAATCCAATTCCTGAAATTTCCTGGTGAATTTCTTGTGACTCCATTTCTTTCAGAATCGGTGGACCAAATCTCTCATGTTTAGTTTATTTTCGGGGGGATGCCTTATATTTCACTCAGAAGGAAACCTGTAAGTAGGTCTTATTTTCAGAGGATGTCTTATTTTTGGGGAAACACGGTAGCATTATAGTTGACACATATCATTATATTGGTTTCCAGAGTAAATCCTTTTGCCCAGAGGATAATAATGGCACCCACCTCATAACATTTTTGTGAGGGTCAGATGAATTAGTATGTGTCAAGGGCTTAGAACAATGGCAGGTTCCTAGTAAGCACTCAATAAATGCTAGCTATTTATTATAGATTTCTAGAGCTGCTTATGTTTTCTTCCCTTTATAAAATCTGATTATCCAGTTTTTTCTTCAATTATCTTAGCTGTCACTAATCCTTCCGTAAATGAAACTTTTGGCTAAGTATATCAGAGTAACTTTCTACTACAACTCATAACTTTGATTATGCAGAAGAAGCAAGAGAAGGAGCCTGTTGGAGTCAGGTAGTCTAACCCAGCCTGACTCTAAGCCCTCTCCTACATGCCAAGATTTTTTAAATTACAGCATGAGAGATCGAGACTACCAATGTCTCCCCAGCCGAGAGTGACATGGAACCTGACACTGATGTGGCTGTCAGCTGGGAACCTAAGATGATTCTGTCCCCAAGCAAAAAAGGGAAGAAGCCATGTTACTCTGCTTACCTGGCTCTGAGAGTTTAGGTTGCTGTGTTTATTAGTGACTTGAGGGCAGAGAACACAGGTCTTAGTAAAGACTTGTCTTAGAAAAGGTAAGTTGTTGCAGTAGTTCATTAAGGAAGTGGGCAGCGATAACTCAGGTAAACAAGACCAGGATGCTTGGCTGGAGTGCAGACCTAAGTCCAGGGAAGGGCAGGTGACAGTAAATTTGTCTTTAAAGGAAATGCAGCACAAATGGCACATTTATTTATTTATTTATTTCTCCTGCCATTCGAGGAATAGGAATAGCATCTGATGGTATCAGTAGATCTGTGCTCCTCTGTTTCCTTGACATAACTATCTGATGGGGAAGCAGATGACTAACTTGAAGGCATTTCTCCTCCCGTCTCCTTTGTATGGTCATGGTGTCTGGCATTCTGAATTGATAATTCCTCCTCTTGTCCCAGCTTCTCCAAGTCCCTTCCCTCCAACAGCCTGTGTCAGGTCTGCTTCCAACTCCTGCTTCTGCCACTGACTGAATCAGGCACAGCAAGAAACCAAGGCAGCTTTCCACTGTATTTGTTGCTAAAGTTTTCAGCCTGTTCTCTGGTTCTAAGGAGTATTGCCTGAAAGACTTGTTTAGAAAAGGTGAGAACATAAATATATACAAAAAACTAGCAAGTGTCTGAATACAGGCCAAGAACCCATTGACATCTTTTCCTTCCAAGGAAGTCCATGAGGTGCAGTCCACCATTTCTGCCCATTGGGTTCAAAATTCTTTGTGTTGCTGTCCTTCTTGGTATAGACTGGGCTGCCCAAGTGCCAGTCATGTTCCTTGTATAGGATCCTTACCTATAATATTAATTACCTATTTTATTTCAAAATTATTCCCTTCCTTTTCAAACATAAGTTCCTATTTACCCTCTACAAATTCAAATTGCCCATATAATCATAAATTTAATATGCTATTTTTATTATTTCCTTGACAAACACTTGCAGAACTCTTAGGGTACATCAGGCCCTACTCTAAGTACTTTACAAATATTAGCTCATTGAATGATGAGGAAGGAGTCACACAGTCAGCAGTAGGACTTGGTATGAAATCCAGGTTGGGTGGTTCCAGACTCAAGTTTAACCTGAGTTAACCACTATGCTATTCCATCTTTTTTAAAGTATTTTTTAAAAATATATTTTATTGATTTTTCACAGAGAGGAAGAGAGAGGGATAGAGTTAGATACATTGATGAGAGAGAATCATCCATCAGCTGCCTCTTGCACACCCCCCACTGGGGATGTGTCACAACCAAGGTACATGCCCTTGACCGGAATCAAACCTGGAACCTTCTAGTCCGCAGACCGATGCTCTATCCACTGAGCCAAACTGGTTTCGGCTATTCCATCATTTTAATATAGATTTAAATAACCTAACTATTAAAGTATTTTCATTTTAATTAATATACAACTTAAAATCATCTCATGTATCACCTGTGGCACATACCACACTTTGAAAAAACACCAGCTGAGTGGAAAGAACTCTGAATTTAGAGAAGATTCTCTTCAATTCCTTTCCCACTTCTTACTTGCTCTGTGGCCACATTTTCTGACCAATGTAAGCCTCAGTTTCCCCACATGTTGACTGTGGATAATCCCTACTTCTCTCCCAGTGGTAGCAGAGACTGGAAAATCGCTACCTTCACAAGTGTTTTGGGAAATACAACAGCACTTCCAGGAGTCAACATCGTCCCCTCTGAAAATGAATCAATGTTGAAAATTAAGGAAACAGTGCCCCTGTTTTTTCATTATAAGCAGCCCCTGCTGGTTGAAACATCATTTGAATAAAAAGTAGATCCTTTTGTTCCTTTGTGCTATAGAAGTTGAAGCTGCTCCTGCCAATTCCAAATAAATTACTTCATGAAGATTGGTCTGTTTATGTTATTCCACTACCTGATGACTTCCTGTGTATAACATTCACATGTGAGCATCTCAGCCAAAGGCCCATAAAGCCATTTCTCCCACACTTCACACTCGACCGTGCGAAACATCTGCTTTTCTTGGCCACCTGAGTTGATGAGTTTTACTTTGCGCCACGGTGAGGTCCAGGTGTCAAGCGAAGGCCCAGACATTTTCTTCCCTCGTTGCCTCAAGAGAGGTGTGAGTTTATAGCCCCATTTCCCCCGCAGGAGCTGATGGCAAGGAAGGCATGGCAGCTGGGCTTCATTACTCTCAATCAACGGCCATGACTTTTTTTTTAAGGTAGCAGACAGGGATGGAGGTTGCATTCTCGCATTTTCAGCCAGTTTGGAGCTGGGGCCATCTGGAAATATGGATATGAATATAACCCTCAATGAGGAAACTTTGGGTTTATTTTTCTTCTTCAGGAGCTCCTACAACTTAAAAATTCCCCGAGTCCTCCCGCTGGGAGTAACGTGTTCCCTAGACTGAGCCATGAGTGTGGACAGGATCTGATCTCTGTTCCGTCCTGCTCCGTCCGTTATCAATATGAAATGAGAATAAGTAATGTAATCTTGGTGGCGTGTTTGATATCCTCACCTGAACAGTAATCTGTAATAAATTAGTGAAAGCCTGATAGTACAGAGGCCTTTGCGGGAGTCTCCCTCCTGATTTCAACAACCCTTCAGCATCACAGGATTTCTTCCCCCACTCCTTCTTTTAAAATACGTTTTATTGATTTTTAGAGAGAGAGCAAGGAAAGAGGGATAAAGAGATAGAAACACCAATGATAGAGAAACATCATGAATCGTCTGCCTCCTGCATAATACTCACTGTGGATCAAGCCCGCAGCCTGGGCATGTGCCCTGACAGGGAATGGAACCAGTGATCTCTTGGTTCCTAGGTCTAAGCTCAACCACTGAGCCATGCTAGTCAGGCTCCAAGGATTTCTTTTGAGCCCTGTGCCCCCTTTCACCTTAGAGAACACATCTCATTATGACAGAGAACTTCACCAGACAGCTGATCATTGTGAAAGGAGAGGCAAGATAAATGGAGGGGAATGTCTCCTAAATCCTTCATGGCTTGTTTCTGTGCCTGTCGGCCAAACCACAGCCTCCTAACATGAAAAGAAAGCAACTCTCTTCCTGAAACAACATGGACCGTGTTTTGAAGCCCAGAGCTTATTAAGGCAATTATGCAAAACATGTTGTCACTGCGCCAGTACACTGATATCCCAGGCGCTGCGCACCACACCTTTTGTATTTAATACCCTGTGGGCCTTGACCTCAATCTGCACCAGCGTTGAGTGCCTCTTCTCTTCTTGCTTTGGAGCTCCTGCTCCAGCTCTGCTTGAGATGCACCCCCACCACCCTTGTGCCACTGGTGGCTCCTGCACCTGTGCCCGCTCCTATAAATGCAAACACTGCAGATACACCTCCTGCAAGAAGAGCTGCTGGTCCTGCTGCCCCATGGGCTGTGCCCAGTGCTGTGTCTGCAAAGGAACATCGGACAAGGGCAGTTGCTGTGCGTGAGGTCCGGGGAGCCTGCTCCCCACTGCGATAGAGCTATGTATTCAAACCTGCGTTATTTTTTATTCCACCCTGACCCATTCGCTGTATTCTCTGTTCTATTAAATATGCGAAGGATAATAAAAGTTGTTGACTTAAAAAATAATAATCATCTGTGGACCTTCATGGTTTACTACAAGTGGAAAATGAACCAAGAGAACAAGCTTACAGTCTTTCCTGAAAGGGGATTTGCACACAACATACTGTCTGTCTGACACACCTCCATGCTTCTAGTGGGTTCTGCCGGTACATTTCCTAAGCTACCCCCATTGCCTGTGTGACCAGAAAAGGTCATTTTTTTTAATGGTTCTGGTTGACTGTAAATAACTATATTCCTTTAATTGCTTGGGATTTTCCCCTTCAATCGTCCCTTTATTACAGGAATATATTAAAAAGCGTTAGACATTTTCACATGCACTACATCATTTATCTCCAAAACTGTAAGATAGGCAGAATGCCCCCATTTCGCAAGCAAGAAAACCCAACATGGAGAGGTCACAGGCCTTGCAGTGGTTGCTCAGGGTTCACACCCAAGTCTTCTCCAAGTCCTGCATGCTCTATAAAAAATGAACTCCTTCAACTTCTCTTCCCGGTGTTCTCAGCTATCTCAATTGCCATCATTAATTACAGTTGACCCTTGGAAAACACAGATCTAAACCACGCTATTCACTTACTCATGGACTTTTTTTTTTCCAATAGTCAGCCCTTCCTATATGTGGCTTCACATCCACAGATGAAACCAATAGCAGAGCAAAACCAGTATTTTCACATTCTCAACCAAGGTTCCCATTGGCTGACATAAAATACTGTTTTCTACCCATAACTGCTTGAATCCAGGGATAAGAAAGGCCAACTGTAGAATCAAAAGTTGTAGGCGGGTATTCACCTTGGTGGATGTCAGAGCCTTTTACCCCATGTTGTTTAAAAGTCACTGTGCTCGCCGAAACCGGTTTGACTCAGTGGTAGAGCTTCGGTCTGCGGACTGGGGGGTCCCGGGTTCGATTCTAGTCAAGGGCATGTACATTGGTTGCGGGCACATCCCCGGTAGGGGGTGTGCAAGAGGCAGCTGGTCAATGTTTCTCTCTCATCGACGTTACTAGCTCTCTATCCCTCTCTCCTCCTCTCTGTAAAAAATCAATAAAATGTATTTAAAAAAAAAAAAAAAGTCACTGTGCTTACTCTCCTCTTTGCAAGAAGTATCCTCTCTCCTTTCCATCCATGCATGGCAGCCCAGTGGGTCCAGACTCCTCCAGGACCAGTCTGCCCTGAATCTTATATTTTCTCTTCATGGATAACCTCCTTCTATTCCTTTGCTCTCTCAGCCAAATTTCAATTAAAAAAAAAACTACACTCTTCCCTTTGGTCAATTCCTATCTGCTGCTCACTCCCTCAAATGCACACCACAAGGACAGCTTTAATACACGCCTGGTCTTTTCCTTTAGTTTTACTAGGTTCTAATTCCTATCTGATTCCGTTCTGATTCCATTTAGCATACACATCAGCAAATGCTTATTTGCCTGAGGTAACTAAGCATTTGCTGATGTGTATGCCAAAGGGAGATATATATATAGTCAGAAACGTATTTTTCTTTATGAGTTTTTCAAAGTACCTTACTAAATATTTTTCCAGGTCTTTTGTTTTCTCTTTGCTAAACAATCCGAGTGACCTGGAAGCAAGAACTCTGTCCTCCTGTTTCAGTAGTGGGCTTCAGGGCCTGCATGCAATCCAAGAAGAATCAAATAAGAGCCGGGTCCGGTTTGGCTCAATGGATAGAGCGTCGGCTTTGGGGACTGAAGGGCCCCGGGTTCGATTCTGGTCAAGGGCATGTTCCTTGGTTGCGGGCACATCCCCAGTGGGGGGTGTGCAAGAGGCAGCTGATCGATGACTCTCTCTCATTGATGTTTCTAACTCTCTATCTCTCTCCCTTCCTCTCTGTACAAAAATCAATAAAATATATTTTTTTAAAAAAGGAATCAAATAAGAAATAGAACTCAAACCCTTTCTCCCAAATGGCATCTGCTGCACTAAAGACCAAAGCTCCCATAACTTCAGAGAACAGAAAAACAAGAGCCATGTTATTTTTTTTAAAATATATTTTATTGATTTTGTACAGAGAGGAAAAGAGATAGAGAGCTAGAAACATCCATGAGAGAGAAACATCCACCAGCTGCCTCTTGCACACCCCCTACTGGGGATATGCCGGCAACCAAGGTACATGCCCTTGACCGGAATCGAACCCGGGACCTTTCAGTCCCCAAGCCGACGCTCTATCCATTGAGCCAAACCGGTTTCTGCAAGAGCCATGTTATTTAGGAAACAACAGTTTCTTTTTTGAAAGCTGGCCTCTATGACAAAGAAGCCCCACTTTCCAAAGATAGAGGGGATAGAAAGAATAAATTGTTAGCTCCGTCAAAAACCTGAGCTATCTGTGTTAGCAGAAAGATAAGGAAAAACCACTTTGATGCATTGCTGGTGTGAGTGTAAATTGGAAACACTTTTTTTTGAGAAAGACATCAATATTTCTCAAAATAAAAAATACAGCCTGACCGGCGTGGCTCAGTGGTTGAGTGTTGACCTATGAACCAGGAGGCTGTGGTTTGATTCCTGATGAGGACACATACCTGGGTTGTGAGTTTCATCCCCAGTGGTGTGTGTGTGTGTGTGTGTGTGTGTGTGTATGTGTGTGCAGCAGGCAGCTGGTCAATGATTCTCTCATTGTTGGTGATTCTAGCTCTCTATCCTTCTCTTTTTCTCTCTGAAATCAATAAAAATATAGATATTTTTTAAAATATCTATGTTTTTAAAAATACATATACTCTGACCCCACAATTTCATTCCTTTAGAACTAATCCCACAGGTCTATGCTTAAGGAAATGTTTGTTGTAATATTCATTGCAGCATTTAAAAGGGAGGCAGATCAATAGCTATGCAATGATCTGCAAGATAAGATATAAAGAAAGCAAAATACAGAACAATATGTGTAATAATACTTATAAAGGTGAGACACACACACACTTTTTCAGGCAAATAAATACATACGTACATACACATTTGGGCTTCAAAAGACATCTCTGGCATTTCATACCAGACTAGAGGCCTGATGCACTAATTCTTGCATGGGTGGGATCTGGCTGAGGGGAGAGAGGTGCCATGGGTGGTTGGCCAGCCAACCCTGCCCCCAATTGAGGGGTGTGGGAGGTTGAAGGCGGAGCCAGCTGGAGGGAGGGGCCAAGGGCAGTTGGCCAGCAGGTCCCGTGCCCTGGTCAAACTCCCAGTTGAACTCCCGGTTGAACTCTCGGTCAAGGGAACAATTTGCACATTAGCCTTTTATTATCCTATATATAATAAAAGGCCAGAGGCATCATGACCGAAATAACCAGAGACCAGACCACCAATGGCCATTTGTGGGCTGGCCCCGCCCCCAAACAAGGGGTTAGGGGCAATCAGGCAGGCAGGCAGAATGGTTAGGGGTGATCAGGTAGGCAGGCAAGTAGTTAGGGGATATTAGGTAGGCAGATGGCCCCTCACAGGGCTGGCCCCACCCCCTAGTAAGCAGTTAGGGGTGATCAAGTAAGCAGGCCAGCAGTTAGGGAGATTAAATAAGCAGACAGCCCCTCACCAAGCTGTCCCCAACTCCAGGCCAGTGATTAGGGGTGATCAGATAGGCAGACAGCCCTTTGCAGGGCTGGACCTCCACCCCCTACCCTCAGCAAAGGAAAAAGGGAGGCCCAGTCCCCAAGCCTGTAGAGGGAGGCCACCATTGCAGGGGAGGGAGGGCAGCACTGCACAGATGGCAAGCAGTGACAGCCTTGGTTGTGGCACCAGCTGCCTGCAGCTGGGGGAAGGAAAGCCCAATAGCCCTGAACTCAGGCCAGGTATAGGAATTCTATCTGAGTGGCCTCAGATTGTGAGAGGCTGAGAAACCCAAGTGCACAAATTTTCATGCACTGAGCCTCTAGTATAAGATAATTCTCTGAGTTATTGTCTTTGAGGAGAGGAATTAGGGTCTGGGGGCTGGGAGTGGAAAGAAAACTTACTTCCTCTCTATGTTTTTATGTACTAAAAATCTTGTCTGGTATAAGTATAAAATTGTGAACAATTTTTTAAAGCTTGTGTTAATTTGAACATCTTCCCCCCCCCCAATTATCTGTGAATAATTGCTATAATTTAGCATTCCCCTCCCACCCCAGTTAACTGTGAAGAGTTGCTGTAAGATTTGAAAGGCCAACTCTGAATTGAGATGTTTCAGCCACAGATCTGGGATGGAAGAGGTTTTTTGTTGCCTTTCACTGGTTTTGAGTTTCACTGTTTTCAGAATTTTAAATGAAGCATTACTATAAAGAAGGCAAAAAGTAATCAATACACAAAGTCCTGTCTCATTAGTTCATATTCACGCCTCTTAAGTCGTACAGTGGTCAGAGCTGTACCTGGAATAGGTTCCCAGGAATAATCTCACCGTTCCTTGAAACAGTGTTCTGTCCCACAGGTTCTGGGTCTCAGGACGTGAGCAATAACATCCATCAACCACAGTCAAGGCTGTTCCTTCTACAGCAACTTCAGTCGATAACCTAAGTCATTACTACTCCACCATTTCAACTACCCCCTCAAGCTCTCTATTCCCAATACCAATTGCAAGTTTATGGTACCACCTTCAGACCTTCCATTTCTGGCTTAAGGTAACATTGCTCTCTTCCCTCAGGAGGTCCCCCTAACAGTCGGCCTCACACCCCAGGAGAGAAGGAAAGGGTTGATTCCAGAGACCATGATTCCCCAGCCATGTAGGAAGCACCCACAAGACAGCCATTCGCAGGTACTGCGGGACTTCAGACTGCTCTGGCCCTCATAACAACTGTTATTGGAGAGGTGGTTTTACAGCAGCCACTGTTGTCAAGTGGAAATAAATTTTTAATAATAAGAATAACAGCAGCAGATTGATACTTTGGCTCTTCTGGAACAGTCATCCAGGGGGATATTCAGCC